AAATGTTAATATGTGCTAATTGATGTATTAACATTATGATAATTTATGGTAATTATATGCTTTCATTGAAATTGCCATGACATATGTGAGATATGTGGTTAAATGGCTTATGTGACATTCTTTATATATGAGTATGACATTGATTACGCAATGGTTCATTACATTGCATATTGCACGGGAAAAATGTATCACATTCATGGGCTTAGACATGAGTGTGGGTGTGTATGCATGATTTAATCAATACCACTCTTGGTGATTGATATGTGGCCTCTGAGATGTTGGATTGAAGATCCCGTGGAGTCACACGTTGCATGAGAAAAACTTGTGTTGGGTATAGTAAGAAGGGCTAGACTCTCCGTTGGATACAAGATCCGACTACTTGGTTCATACACTTCCCTGTGGTAAAATTTTAGAAAAGTGTAATGACGTACGGAGCTAGTCAGTGTGATTCTGAAATCCGATACCCAATAAAGACATATGATTTTGTAATACAAAATTTTCATTTGATGGGAAACATCCATAAATGAAATGGTTTTATAAACATATAGTTGATATTTCAAAAATGATCATTGGATGTATTTCATCGATGATAAATGTTTTACACTTACATTACATAGTGTGGTGAGAGCCGGAGTAGGCTCGGGTTGAGGTGCGTGAGTGAATCTCATTTCATTAATGACATGACATGGTAAATTTCAACATGAACATATATATTCTTGATTGAAATGATTATATGATTGTAAATGTTTTATATGAACATTGCATATGCACTTAGGTTGGGGAGTAGCCTCTGTAGAAAATATTCTACTGGGCGTTGGCTCACCTTATACGGGAAATATTTCAGGTGCAGGGTTCATACCAAGAGAAGACTCGCATTCGGGGCCCCAACGATGAAGAAAACCCGACTTGTGGCTTTTATGACATATTTTGTGTAATCTTTATTGGAACGATATTTTAACATGTAAAAATTATGCAAATGCAGGTAATAGAACTTGCATGGATCATGTATAATGTAGAAAATGTCATTATCCATGTTTGGAATGAGTTTGGAAAGGTTTTGGATGAATTGAAAATGAAAATCTGATGAAGTATGAAATTTTGGGCAAAACCTTCTGAAAGGTCACAACAACCTTCTGGAAGGTTAGTGTAAATTTTCTTTCTAGTAGGTAAAACCTACCAGAAGATCCAGAAAACCTTCGAGAAGGTTCATGCAATTTTTCATTCAGTGGGCAAATTCTTCTAGTAGAAAATAGTCCAGTAGGTAAAACCTACCAGAAGATTCATAAAACCTTCTGGTAGAAATTTTCCAGTGAGCAAATCTTCCGGAAGGTCCATAACAAAACCTTCTGGAAGGTTTTTCAAAAATCTGAAATTTTAAGAATGCATTGCCATACTCTTGGGCTATGTGTTCTTTGGTTTTCATGACACCAATTAACCTTAAATGAGATACATTGGGGTATATTGAACCTTTATGAGATTAAATGATAAAAGGAAACACGGATCCTCGTGTTAGTTGTAATCCCAGTTACAGGGATGTGATAGACGTGATGTCGGGTTATGCGACAATCACGGGTAATTTCGTGGGTTGACGGGTGGTCAATGGGAACCCCGATTTTAAGGGCGTCACATACTTTATAGTCCCGCTTCGTTCAAGTCTTTCTTTTAGGCAAAGGTTTTAAGAAATATTTGATTAATTCTAAACCCAAGTAAGATACTATTGTATATGATCAGTGGGAACAAGAGGACGCTCAGATTATTTTTTTGCTGTTAACTAGCATTGAGTCGAGTATTAGCTTTACTTTACTCTATCTTGACACTGCCAAAGAGATATAGGATCACTTGGCCACTATGTATTCTGGTATAGGTAATTTTACTCGTGCTTATGAAGTGTGCAAGTAGTACTTTCGGCTAGAGCAAGGTACTTTGAGCCTTGATGATTATTACTCCCATGTTCGCAGAGTTTGTGAGGAGTTGAAGCTCTACTATCCGTTCACTACTGATGCAGCAGTTTGACAGAAGTAACATAAGAATTTAAAAGTTGTTAGTTTTTTTGTAGGATTGAAAGCTGAATATGAGGCTATTCATTCTCAAATTTTGGATGGTTATAATCTTCCCTCTCATATTCTCAAATTTTGGATGGTTATAAGCTGAATATGAGGCTTTTCTCTTGTTTACAATGTGTTACTCTGTCTACTTCTTCAGGCATCGATCATGGTGTCTCCACTGATCGCTAAGCTCTTATGATTCTTAGTAGCCACAGTGATGGTCATCGAGGTGGACGTGATAATTGTGGTGGTCGTATGAGTGGTCGTGGGGGCCGTGGACCTCTTTTCTGTATTCACTATGGTCGTGGAGGGCACACTATTGATTTCTATTGGAATTTACATGGAAAACCTTCTAGTGCTGCTAATCAGGTTTCCTATTAGGATGACACCTTGGTTGTTGCTTTTATACCTTGATCAGCTCCACCAGACTCTCGGTCGGTTAATATTACACAAGAGGAGTATGTTCAATTCCTATCCCAGTAGTAGGCCGTTCCAACTTCCTCCACTACTACTTTTGCCTAGTCAGGTACTGCTTCCACTTGCTTATTATCCTCCATTCACAATCCCTGGATCATAGACTCTAGTGCTTCTGCTCATATGACTGGTATGTCTAATGTTTTTTCTACTTATCAGTCTGTTACTTTCACACATAGTGTTACTCTTACTAATGATACTTGCTCTAAAATTTTAGGTTTGGAGACTACTCACTTGAGTCCTGATATGTCTCTATCCTACGTATTATTTTTTTGCTTAGTTTCTTTTTAGTTTACTTTCTATTAGTAAGATTAGTCATTCTTTCAATTGTTCTGTAATCTTTTATTCCTCTTATTGTGTATTTTAGGATCTCAAGATGAAGAGAAAGATTGGTACGGGGCATGAAGTTGGTGGCCTATATTACTTTGACTTTGATTCACCTACTCGAACTCTACAGGCCTCTTTGTCTCCTTTTCAATGGTATTGTCGTCTTGGACATCCCTCTTTCTAGAATCTGAAGCATCAAGTTCTCAGTTTTAGTTATGTGTCGTCTCTGTCTTGTGTAGCTTGTCAACTTAGTATGCATCACCGTGTGTCATTTCATTTTAAAGATAATAATCGTGTGTCTAGTCTATTTGAGTTAGTACTTTCTGATATATGAGGTCTAATAAAGAATATTTTATCTAATAAATATCCTTATTTTGTATCATTTGTAGATGATTATTCTCGTGTGACATGGTTGTTTCTGATAAAAGCTCGTTCTGAATTATTTTCTATATTTGAGACCTTTCGCAAGGAAATAAAAACTCAGTATAGTTGTGGTATATGTATTTTACGTTTTGATAATACTCGAGAATATGAATCTAATCATTTTTCAGCTTATCTTAGTAAAACTACTATTATTTATCAGACTTATTTTGTTTACATCTCTCCATAGAATGGTGTTGTTGAACGCAAAAACCGTCATTTGTTAGAAGTCACTCGTGTACTGTTATTCCAGATGGATATTCCTTAATATGTTTTGAGTGATGTTGTTCTCACTGCTTGTTATTTTATTAATCGTATGTCATCCTCAGTGTTAATCTTGGACGTTCAGACAGCAAAAAGAGTCGTACAAAATTGTAGCATAAATTCCACAAATTCATTTTAGTGATAAGAGAGAGAACAAATCTTCCAGCTGTGAACGTGTCAAGCGTGATGGGAAAGTAAGCCAAGCGTTTAGGTATATGTCAAGAGGAATATGAGAAGCGACAAACTGGAATCCTATTTAAGGACCCAATTTGTAGAACTCTTTTGTGGACTTTTCTTCACCTTTAGCTAATGATCATCCTCTTTTCAATGAATGAAGAATTTGAAATTGATATCCCTCTTCACACATTTCCTTCCGCATGCATGAGGATATCCTGTTCCTTGAAATCCACGTGGTGGCTAAGGCTTAACCAATATATGTATATTTATATCCCCCTAGTCCCTTAGTTTTCCTCATCGATCATCAATCAAAGTTTGTTGGATTTTATTTCGATGAAGGTGATGTATTTTTACGTTATTGTATCGGGTTGATGTTGGTTTTAACCTCCTGTGTTGACTGTGGTTGAAGTTTTATCCTGTTGATTATGTGATGCAAGATCATAGCATTTTTTTTGTATGCTGTTAGACGGTAAAACATTAAGTACAATATCTTATATCTGAGTAATGTTGTTGAGAGCTAAAAAATTAACATAATTTATTGACATAATTACGTGTCAAGTGACGAAGTTCTGATATCAGTTTATGTTCTTAATTATCAATAGGGGTTTTCTGGGAACATGCTCTTAGCATGTGTAGAGGTTTTCCTTGCGTTGGCTAGTAATTTCTAAAAAACTTTGGATGGATTTGCAATAATGATTGTTTTGCTTTCGTGTTGTCCTAGTAATATGAATGATTAATTCCAATAAAAAATATGCAAGTATCTAGCTATTTGCGTCTTAAACTGACCTTGTATGAGGCAGCCATGATCAGTAATAACATTCGGGGTTGGTGACTGGTACTCATGTGAGCACATTTTCATTCATTCTTTTGATATAAAAAGAATGTTGGCAATGATTCAAATCATTTTAAATTAATTTTATAGGTGAGAAAAAAAATGTCGATCCGGCTAAATTCACTATGGAGAAGATGTGCAGCAAACTTCCCTCAACCTGTTAATGAAGAAAACGAGCATGCAACTCAATTTTTGGTAGAAAATGTTTACTATTTTAATTGCCATATTGCAGCACCCTTTGCCCTTCATCGTGTCCAGAAGCAACAGTGGTGAAAAAGACATCCTCCGCCATGTCTTTCGTTGGGATGTTTCCCCCTATCATGAGGTTTTTAAGAATGGATTCCAAGAAAGCGTCAACAAGACACTCCTGATGAGGTCTACTTCAATCTAGATCAGTACGTCCATCATGGCAGTAGACCTCTGTTTCCAACCGGCCCTCCACCCACGTCTTCGTTAGCACCATGCTTAACAGCGCTTGGCATCGTAGCCTCAATCCTAAGACTGAGATGGAAGTATGTCAAAATGAGATATATGCTCCTAGTGGCATTTGGGTTGCTGTGACTCTTGGTGATCATTACCAGTACCCTGCCCAGGATGAGGTCTGCTTTGTTGTTGGCATCACCCCTCAATACATTCGGTCTACCCAACGCTTTAGGCTTATTGCTGGCACGTGGTTACCCTACACATTAGAACTTCAATATTTCTTCGTATCCACTTTAATTTACTACCAATTATTTTATTTAGATGAGTTTAATATATTAGTGAGATATATATTTGAAAGTAAAAATTGAGGGCTTATGTTATAATTTGGAGTGTCAACCGTGCCAATAAATAGTTATGAATAAGGTTAAACGGGTGACGGGGCAAAAACTAGTAAACCCGTACATGACTCGTTTAAATAAACAGGTAAAAAATCTCTACATGAATGTGAACTATTTAACAAATGGGTAATATGATACAACTTGTTCCACCTCAAATGACAAGATAATCAAAGGCCTATGACAATCATTGCAATGTTCCCCTTCTTCAATGGGATGGTGTTCGAAAGTGGCGTAGACGCCACGTTTAAGGCAACGACAAAATATGACCCTTACCTTTTCAAAGACAACATATATTCTCTTATAATCTAAGATTCTAATTCCCACATCTTCTCTGTCCGTCTCATCACTCAAGGCTTTGCTATTTTGAAAAACACCATCTTTGAAAGTGGAATTGATGCAACGTTTGCTTCACACAGGATTGATGAGGCTTACCTATTGAAAGGAGATTCCTATGCACTCGTCAACTTTGCTTCCGGCACAACAAATGACTACATCATTGATGGCGTGAAGAACATCCTTCCTAATTGGCTCTCTTTACGTACCATCTTGTCTCGCAAAAATCGTGGTCTTGACGTTCATGATCTCACTAAACCTGATGTTGACTGTGACCATGATGAACTTCAAAAGTCAGTTTTACATGCCAAAGTGTCGATGGCATGATTTGAATAAGATTTTGTCTCAGTTTAGCAGTTTCTAATTTATCTTTAGGTGAAATAATTAAGGGTGTAATGAGGATTGGGGTTATCTTATCTTCTCCTCACTGAACCACCTTATCCTCTAGTTGGTAGCTTAGACCAGAGGTTCTTTGGATGAGGCCAGCAATTTGTGACTGGGCATCAACAAGTTTTTACTCTCGGAAAATTATTCGATGAATGTTATGTTCATTGTTGCCAAAACTTATTGACTTGTGTCAATGAAGGTTACAAGTTCCCTAATAACCAACTTATTTTCATTTCGAGCTTTATTTTCAAGTGTTTTCATCTCAATGAAGCACAAGAACTATTAGGTGTAACAATTAGTTTCTCTGTAAGTACAATCTACCCAACCGAAAAAAGTTAAAAAGTAAGTTTCTCTCCAATTAAAAACTGCTAAACGCGCGTTCTCATGCCAGCAATTGGTTCACTAGTTATAGCATTGTGTAGCTTGGTATAATCTTCTGCTGCATTCCAAACTAATTATGCGATGAGTTCTATTTAGAATTTGCAAATGCTTGACTGTGCATGTGACCTACGCAAGCATCTTCTGTTGTAGAATAATCTTGTGGTGTACAATTTCAGAAGAAGAAAACCAATAAATGAACAAAGAAGATAGATCGTCAGGCAAGACACATCAGATGCTATAATAGAGATAGTAATTGAGTTAATCTCAAATTGCACCCCGAAAGATGATTCAAAGCTCAATTTGTACCATCAAAGCTTAAAAATATTAATTTACATTCTTAAAGACATAAATTTATATTAATGTACATCGAGGGTTAACTGTAGTCCATTTTGCCATTAAAAAAGTTTGGGCTAATTGTAAATTGCACCTTTAAATTTAAATATTTTATATTTACGATCCAAAAAAATTTTCATCAATTAATATTTGTTAAATACCTTTCAATTTTGTTGTATCGTAATATTTTTGTGTCATGCCATTTTGTGTCATATTGTATTATTTTTGTATCATGTTTGAGTCAATAAAAAATTATTTTTAACACAAAAAATATTTTCAAGTCGAGTCAATTTCACTGTCATATATTTCATATTTACGACAATTCATATAACACTATTTTAAAAAAATTAAAATACCTATTTTTTGCCTACAATACTCTTTAAATAGATATTTTTGTTTAAATTTAGACGCGGCACGACACAATTGAGAGTTATTTAACGAGCACTAATTGATGTAATTTTTTTGGATCGTAAATGTAAAATATTTAAACTTTGAGGGTGCAATTTATAATTAGTCCAAAATTTTTTAACAGCAAAATAGATGACGTTTAGCTCCATGTGCACATTGATGTAAATTTATATCTTTCGGGGTGCCAATTGATATTTTTAAACTTTAAGGGTATAAATTAAGATTCTAGTGATCTTTTGGGGTGCAAATTGAGATTAACCCATAGTAATTTCCCCAATTATAATGCAGGTGGATTATTGGAAATTCAATCCGTAGGATGCAATACCTAGCTTTAAGATTATATAAGACTATATTTCTTAGTAATCTTGGAACCAAAACTTGACTCAAACATAGAAAATTATAACGTATGAAGTTATGAAATAGAGAGTAAAGAAGAGAGCAATTTTCATTCTCTTTTGATATTGTAGTTGAAGTCTATATATATTGTTCTATGCATCACTTCATGAAGGAATATATTCCTTCATTACAATGGAAAAATACATCTCTTGAAAGGTTTGAAAAAAAATGTAACCATTAGAGAGAATACTCAAACGGAAATTAAAAAATTAATTGTTACATTCGAACGAATTTTTACCTTCAAATGAACCCAACTCCCAGTATCTACGATTCTAAGTTTCTAATAAAGTTGCGTTCGAACGAATCCAACTCTCAGTATACTAGATGCCAGGTTTTTGCCAAAGTACTTGGAGTAAGGCTCGTTTGAACAAAAGCTACGTTCGAACGCCACCTCCCTCCTTCCTTTTATTTCTTCTTCTTCTTATTTATTTCTTCTTAAATATATATAATAAAGTACATTGCAATTTAAATTCCAAAAAATAAACAAAATGACTTTTGTTTTTCGCAGTATAGATCATTGTAAATTTTATTTTAAATTTAATCTGATGATTAATATTAACTCCTCAAGTTTAATAGGGATAATAGGCTCCCTAAAGGTGTGTTGGAGGTGACTTTTCAAAGATGCTTTTAATAAGCATTTAAAAGAAAAAAAATAGTGTTTGGAATGGCCCTTCCACCACCACCCCCATTGCCCCACCACCACTACCATCACCACCACCATCATTACCACCATCACCATCACCACCGTTGCCACCATCCTACCACCACCTTCACTGTCGTCGCCACCACCACTATAGCCCCACCACCACCACCACGCCACCACCATCGCTGTCGCCACCCCATCGTCACCACGACCAACGCTACCGCCACCTATCACCATCACCAATACCACCACTATCGCTGTCACCCCACCACCACTACCACCACCATCATCGCCATTGCCATCGCTACCACCCACCACCATTATCATATAATTCTTATATTTATTACCACTATCACCATTAACCCACCACCACTGTCGCCTACCATCACCACCCACCGCCCCCAACTACCATAACCCACCACTGCCCGTTGCTCACTGTTAACCACCACCATTGCCCACTACCACCGCCCACTACCACCACCCACCGCCATCCACTACCATAACTCACCACCACTCGTTGCCCACCACCACCTTGTAATGCCCCAAAACACACCTTGGACGGCATTACAATCTAAAAATCATTCACATCATGAAAGCAACTAATATAATCCATAAGTAAAGAAAATTTCATTCATTATTCATAGCATTTACAACCTAATCCAAAAGAATATGCCGAAGCATGGTCATCGCATCTAAAAGAATATGATTAACTAAGGCAATTATATCAAATGGAATCAAATTTGAACTTACAGTGAAATAACAAAAGGTTAGACTCTACATAGTCTCAAAAGGAATTCCTTAGTCTAGTACATACGGGATTATAGCCCTAAACATCCACTTCGGGATCCACGTGCCCATCTAGTGGAGCCTCCCATTGTATCTGCTCTTCGATTCCGAGTTCTTCATCTAAGCCAAAATCTGAAAAATATGATGTTGTAGGGGGTGAGCACTAAGCTTTGTAGCAACATCCTCCCAAACTTGAACAAGGTTTAAAAATCATATAAACACAGTTCGGTCTCTTTTTCTAAAATATCATATTTTAACTTGAAGTAAAACAGTGACAGTTTATTTGATCTGAAGTTAACACAATGATAATAAGTTAATTGAAAAGAATAAACATGTCAGGATTAAAGAAAAACAATAAATTATACAACAACCTCATTCCATATTCTCATGTACGTTGGTTGCTTCCCCATGAATCTACACAATGACCTTTACCTTGTTCACCTATCATAATCACACAATCCCAAACATTTTAGGAAGGGCGTATACCGTCTCTCACGGCATTGACGAATCTTTCCCAGGAAAGGTATACCATCCCTCAACCTCGAATTTACTTGAACAATAATGGTTGCTCTCACAAACAACAAACCACTACAAGTATTAGGAAACCATCTCACCCCCACTGGGATAGACTAACCTCTAACACTCTACGGTAGTGCTCGAATGCGGTTCAAGTCCATCACAACAACCATACAAGAGATGCAATAACAAACATTTTCTCAATATCACAAGGAAATCTAAAATTCTCAAATTTCACAATTTGTAATACAAGAGAACAATATAAGAAAATAAGAAAGAGATCATCACAACATCATTTTATTACTCAACACAAAGAATTTGGGTTTCGAAATCAAAAACAAAGGAAGAATCAAAAGAAAAATTAATTTCTCTTGAAAACTAGGGTTTTATGGCAAGGAAAGAGTATTCATGGTTATTTAACCATTGCTTTGTTTAAAACATGATAATCTTTGCAAAAATAACAAGAAAGGATGATTTCATAGCATATATATATAAATGAGAGTGAAAACATATATATACATATAAGCCCTAGCCTCAATGGTCAAGAATGGAAGGAAACCCCTACCTTGTTTGTAATTTAGGAAGAAGTGCAGAAGATTTGATTTTTCCCACTTGAATCAACACTTGAATCTCTTGTGTCTTCTCTTCTTTCTTCCTCTCTAAGGTTTCCTAGGGTTAGAAATGTTGAAATGGGGCTAAAGAAGGCGTCATTATGTATTTATAGGGTGAAAAATGAACCCTAAATCGTGACTTAAAATTTCTGGAACTTACAGAGCGTACCGGTATACTGTACCGGTACGATAAACTCTCTGGACAGTAGCGTACCGGTACAGTAACTTCCAGACATACTGATACGCAGTACCAATACGGTCTGTTTAGTTTTGCCTGTTTCTGTTGTTTTTTATTTCCAATCCATTCCAAACCCTTCCAAAACCAACCCAAACTTATACAACATACATTTGAATATCAACCATAGTTGATACCAGTTCGATTAAAAAAAAATTCATATATTTACTTGCTACATATTAAAATAAAAGTGTGGGGGTTTACAATCCACCCCCTTAAAGAAAGTTTCGTCCTCGAAACTTACCTTGAGTAACGAAAAAATATGGGTACTTCTCTCGCATCTCTAGCTCCAGTTCCCAAGTGGCTGTCTCCACTCCATGGTGTTGCCACAAGACTTTCACCAGTTGAATGACTTTGTTGCGAAGCACCTTCTCCTTGGTGTCGAGAATCTTCACCGGTTGTTCTTCATATGTTGCTCCATCTTGAATTTCAATATCCTCCAAATCCACGACTTGTGTTGTATCCGATTGACACTTTCTCAACATCGATACATGGAACACATTATGTACCCCTGACAACTGAGCTAGTAATCAAAGTTGATACGCCGCTTTGCCCATAGCTTGGATCACTTCAAAGGGTCCGGTGTATCTTGGGTTTCCAAGGGTCTTCCTCTTCAATCCGCAAAGCTCTT